ATTGAAAGTGTATTGAAACTCATAAAGTACCTTACAATCACAACTTTACTCTAACGAATACAAAGTGTTTTGAAGCAGATTTAATTAATACAATTATTTCAAATTCAAATGTTTAAACCATCTACACATTACATTTAACAGAGAGAGGAGAGGGTAATATTACAAAAGGGGACCATAATGCTGGGACGAAAATAAAGACAGACTACATTTTTAATACATGGTAGTGAAGTTTCACGGGTAAAAATAACATACAGTATTATATAAGAATAATAGTCTTGATAAGACAAATAACAGTTTTAGGCTTAATAAGAAAAAGGGATTGTGTAGGCTAGAAAGAAACAAACATAGTGAGAAACCTAAAACAACTTTTGTTGCTAAATTATTAAACAACATATATATATATATATTACTTCCTGGCTTAAGACTATTTTATATATACTCTGTTAGAAATAAACTCAAATAGGGCAATATAGCGAAAAATAAATTTTATGATTTTAATCAGAAACATAGTCAGTGTATGTAGCAGTATATCAGGTTCAACATTATGTCTTGCTTCACGAATGATACCAGAATATTGAATTTGTACAGAGGCTCACAAGACAAAAGACGATTTAGCGCTAAAGTTTGGTGCTGGATTCCCACGGCGGGCACGGTGCAGGTAGCCCATTGTGCAGCATTGTGCTAAAACTAAAAACCAAATAACAGCAGCAACAACAAGAACAGACGATTGCTCTTTGTCAAAACTCCATACCCCAAGGAAAAGTGTCCCGACCACATCAACAACACGTTCATCCGGGTTCCTGAACACGATCGACGGGCGCCATTTCTAGCTTTGTACCTTCTTAATCGATGGAGAATATTGGTACTTTCTTTTCTTTATCATTCAAGTCGGTCGTTTAATTATTAACTATAGTTTTACAAGTTGTAAAGACTGAACGTATCAAACTGTATCACCAGAATTTGGTTTCCAAACGATTATTACTTCACGTTAAGATAAATCGTTTTAGGCTAAAAGCCAATAAATGTGAAGAGTAATGAAACATCAGATTAGATACTATTATGTTTTCAAGTTTCGGTTTTGAAATCCCGGCCAGAAGCTCAGAGTAAATTACAAAATAGAGCGGCCATTTAATTTAGAGAGTGCTTTAGTGACTGTAGTGATGATAACTTGTTACCTTCTAACATTGTCTTGCAGTTAATGATGTTCATTGAAAACAATTATTTACTTTGTAATCTTTGTGGCATGGTACCTTTCCTCGAGTTTAAGTTAGAAGGATTTAGGATTCAAAATCAATGTATTTTCACAACTCAAGTAAAAACGGGAATTTCTTATGTCTTGTTATCAAGGTTACGCAATATGAACTTCTTCTTTTAACACAGAAAAACATAGAATCATCTGTCGCCAGTCTTAATAAAGTTATATTGTACAGTAATAACAAACAATCACCTGAACCAGAGGGAGCCTCTTTGACGATGCACACTGTCTAGACTGTAGTGTGTTCCTCTCATATAACAACTTAATTCATGCACTAGAAATCAACTGCAAATAATAAGAGAGTAAAGACGTAAGCGACACTTCATTAAAAGGATCAAATATTTATTCCTCAGTTGTTTTTAAAACAATCTTATCATGGCCAAAATAAATGTTGTCAACTTCATTGGATAAAACACTTTGATCCTTCTCATCGATTGGATACGTCTGATAGACACAGATTTGAAATGTCTCAGTTCAGATGGAATAATGGAAAGATAACTTAAATAATTCCTACAAAGGTTGCTTAACTCATCGTATAACAGAGATTGAATAATAATAATAAAAAACAGTTGAAATCAGTTAATCCATTACAGGAACTAATTAGGTCACGCTTTTAAAATAAAGTTGTCTATCAAGAAAATCAATGTGAAAGTTAAATGGACAACCTTATGAAGACAAATAGAAGTGGATCGAAATGACGTTTAATCACCAGTTGACCGGAAAGTTGCCCACTTTAACAACTTTAAATTGATTTTCTTGATAGAATACTCTTGAAATAAATGAAGACACACGGAAATGGGTCGAAACTCTATCTAATCAGTACTTCTTCAGGCAGATTGTTCATTTCAACAATTTTCACCGTATACTACCTTTCAAACAAGGAAAATCAATAACTGGATTCTCTTCGTTTTTCATAAAGGCCCATTGTTTAAGAAGTTGACAACAATATACATGTACATACCCATATTGTCTAAATACGTAGAAACGAATATCTTAAAGATTAATGAACATTTTTCCAACTTCAGCTTCATATATATGTGTGTACTTTATATTTATTACTAATTTAACTTCTGTTTGGAATATATATTGTTTAAGAAGTTGACAACAATATACATGTACATACCCATATTGTCTAAATACGTAGAAACGAATATCTTAAAGATTAATGAACATTTTTCCAACTTCAGCTTCATATATACGTGTGTACTTTATATGCATTACTAATTTAACTTCTGTTCGGAATATATACATACATATATATATATATATATATGTGTGTGTGTGTGTGTCTGTCTGTCTGTATACGGGATAAGATTCTTTAAAATGAAGTTACATAGATAGAACAGGGCATTAGTGTGCACAGAACGTAGTTTTGTACATTTCGATCTACGAACCTACGTCTTTTAAAAAAAAAATTGTATCAGATGAAGAATTAAGTTGTTTCATAGTTGAAACTATTCGGAGTATCTTTAAGTGATTATCCCGATAGATAGTATTCATTTTAGGGTTCGTTGTGTATGTTCGTCAAACAATGTTTCTTAATTCCAAGAGCAATCTTGTCTGGATTAAATTTCTAACAAACAAAAAAGTACAAACTTATAGTCGGAAGAATGTTTTAACAGAAAGCAACGTAAGGATTGTTGTACAGCCACGGGAGACAACGTTTCGAAGAAGGGAGCTTTGATTGTTCTCCAAGAAAAACTCGCACAGAAGAGCGTTTAAGGCAGTAACAGGCTCCGAAATCACACCCTAATCCAATCCGTAGCAAATCCCTCATTTGCAGAGTGAAAGGCTGTGGCGACTATAGAGAAACCTCCGAGAAAAATAAAAGCCATTGCGATGCAGCCGGTCATCTCCTGTTGTAGTTAACAAGATAATGAACAAGAACTTGAAGTTGATGAAGGTTCACAGGCTTCCAACCACACCTTGAAATTACAAGCAAGCTGGTCGAAGAAACCGCACCAACCCATTCGACCACATACCTTCAACGCCCCTGTGGACTTTTATGGACTTTTGCACCTTTAGTCTGCTTAAACTGGCGTTGAACGCGACGGTCATGTTCAGTGTAGGATCTCTGAAAAGTTTATGAAGATGTGTGGTCTAAGATTGACCTCAGTGCCTATCATAGAAACTTATTACAACGGAAATTGCGATGTTGGGCAGTAGTCTGTATTCACGACCAGTAAATAGACTGATCACGATCAGCGATGGAGGAAGCATTTCTAGGGGTAGCGCAGGACCTGTATATTAGTGTTTGAAACATGCCATAAGAAAATTATAATTCAAACAAAACCAAACTATCTTATTACACGATCATACGGTGTTTTTCTCACGGTTTTATACAAGAAATTCCTATGCAAGTCAAGGACAAATTGCATAATGAAAGAAAATCATTATGAATGTATCAATGAAACATTTTTTTTGTTATAATTTTTTTCACAGTTACTCCTATAAAATCAGGACATTGATTTATTGTATAAACTTTAAGCTGAAATCATATTTTATAATTATTAATAAAACAATAAAACAGACAACGATAGAAATTGAAAATCAAATATGCCACTTTATGTGTGTTTATAAAAAAATTTTAGCATATGCTTATCCCTTATGCATTATAGTGCTGATACAATATTTTGAATAATGCGTTTCCTACCAAAAAAAACTCTTTAACCTTGTTTACATGCAGGTTATATATTTTGTGTGGTATGAACAAGAGCTATGATTGAACAGCGAGGTTTATTTAAATAGGTTTATTTGATTTAGAGCATAGATACAAAATAGCCTACCTGTGTTCTGTTAACTACGAAGAATTAAACCCCAGGTTTTATTTTAGCGACGTAACTCGTTAAAACTCCGCTAATCCGCCAGGGGGACCTGTTGATGCGATAATATGTTATACGTATTATATATTCAATATTAGAATCTGTTTTTGTATTTTGTTTTCTGTAATTGATGACCCCTCTCCCCCCCCCCCACTCGCACCGGTTTTCTAATCACATTTCCAGATACTTATCGAAGTATCTTGATCGTCCCCAGACAATCCTTCTAACTGCCTGGGTGGCCTAGTGCTGAAAGGATTACAATAAATGGCTCAGTGTGGTTCCTAACACACAACCTTTGCTGAAATGAATTACTTAGTCGCCAGCTTTGCCACAACAGATGGGCAAGATAAAGAAATCAGAGGTAACATAACTCATTGCAATGTAGTCGGCTCAAACATTAGTTATATATTATGCAGCATGAAAATTTATGAGTTGTAATCAGTTATACACAATTCAGTTGGATAATGTAACTTTGTTAGTGGTTCGTCATTGCGAAAAAAGTTTAGTGAAGTTTATATATTTATATATTTTAAATAAACCTTTGACATCCTTTGCATTCATAACATGAAGTTTTAATATACAGAGAAAGCCGACGTCAAAAAGTGGTTTATTCTGTGATTGAACTAAATGATACGAATATTATACAACGGAAATATAAATATTATACATTATGATGACATACCGTTGAATGCTTTGATGAAGTTATATTAACGAGCATTAATGATTATTTTCACTAACGATACATAATATATAACTGAAATTCAGTAATGTATTAGTAAAATCAATTAGATTAACTCGCGGGTGACATAAGGGTGTAATTAATGAGAGAAAAAACAGAGAAACGTTTACATTTCGAAATTTGATGAAAGAACTAGAAATTAATGAAATACATCATTGGACCGGGAGAACACCAATCTTAGTAGTTTCGTGTGGAAGAAAGTATGCATTATTTTGAAAAATAAGAATTCCGAGAACCCAAACGCTTTCCGATGGTAGACCTTCCGAAAGCGATCAGGTTGTCTGATTTCTTATTTTATAATAATTTAATGTTTGATCCTACATGATTTGTAATAAAAGGAAGAACATCAACAGGAACAAAGTGTTCATCCCCAAAATGTTCACCCAAGAAAGTACATAGAACCAACTAATAAAGTACTTTCAGTTTGGTTACATTAAGACGTAATAAAGTACTTCTAGTTTGGTCACATTAAGACGTAATAAAGTATTTTCAGTTTGGTCACATTAAGATGTAATAAAGTACTTTCAGTTTGGTCACATTAAGATGTAATAAAGTACTTTCACTTTGGTCACATTAAGATGTAATAAAGTACTTTCAGTTTGGTCACATTAAGACGTAGTAAAGTACTTTCACTTTGGTCACATTAAGATGTAATAAAGTACTTTCACTTTGGTCACATTAAGATGTAATAAAGTACTTTCAGTTTGGTCACATTAAGATGTGATAAAGTACTTTCACTTTGGTCACATTAAGATGTGCATAAAGTACTTTCAGTTTGGTCACATTAAGATGTAATAAAGTACTTTCAGTTTGGTCACATTAAGATGTAATAAAGTACTTTCAGTTTGGTCACATTAATACGTAATTAAGTAATTTCAGTTTGGTCACATTAATACGTAATTAAGTACTTTCAGTTTGGTCACATTAAGATGTAATAAAGTACTTTCAGTTTGGTCACATTAAGACGTAATAAAGTACTTTCACTTTGGTCACATTAAGATGTGATAAAGTATTTTCAGTTTGGTCACATTAAGATGCAATAAAGTACTTTCAGTTTGGTCACATTAAGATGTAATAAAGTAC